ATTCGCACCATTTACTGTAAGAGTCCGTCACGAAAACGGGGTCTAGGCAATATTTCTGGCTCAACGATGTGCAAAAGCGTTTTGCCCAGAGCTCCATCCTTGGCACCGTAAATTGCCTCTGAAAAAAAGTACCCAGCGAGATAACTCAAAGTTCAAAATTTTGAAACCTATTTTACGAATTCCAAAAAAGAGAGCCGTAATTCACGGAAATACTAGGCGGGGGTTTAAGAACGAATAGGAAATGAGCAGCAAAAAACAAAGGAAGATGAGGGCGTAAGTGCGAGAATGAAAATCGAAATAACAAATCCACTGAAAGCGTTTAGGTGGTGAATCACAAACCAAGACACTCATCAATCTGCACTCTTAGAACCGTACTTTTCGATGAAGGGGCTCCTGGCGCTTACGGGGGGGGGGCAAATATTCGATAAAAGGAAAACCTGGAAATAATCAGCGCAGCATCCGATCTTCAAGAAACTATGCAAATTTATTCACAAAAGCTCTTCAGTGAAGAAAAAAATCAAGGAAAGGGGCACATTCCTGTACTCTTTGCACCGCGTTTCGGAAAAATCTCTATATACACACAGAAGGATTATATAGAAAATCTATGACATAAGAACAGTGTGCTAATTGTGGTGACTACGACGATCACGCGAGTTCACTTGATGAAGACAGAGCTGACTAGTAAAAAAGGCAAGATGACCTATGAACTATGCGATCTGGAGACAAAAATTGTATACAAAACAGATCAAATCGTACTGGTAACTTGGGCAATCTGAAGGAAACCGAGTAAATCACCTAGCTGACCTTTATATATACGAAACAAAAGAAACGATATCTATTCTGACGCAATCGCATCTGAACAAACAGATCGAACGCGGATTCGACGTCCACGATTAGTACGCAAAGCCCTGCAGCAAAATGAGAGAAAAGAGGCAAAAAATTCTTACTAACAAATTGTCGGGGAAAAACTGAGCAACAAGTATAGCTAAAGATTAAACGATCACAAAAGCGATAAGTCATCCTCTGAGCCAGGTCATGAGTCTTCTGCTAGCCGTCAGCGGCTCGTCATTTCCTCGTACAAAATTACTTGCTCGTTCAAGAGTCAACGATTTCAGGCGATGTTCGTCTTCTAATCTAAACAAACCAAAACATGGACTGCAAAGAGCTTCAAATGACAGAATACACTCTTAGGAGATATGTATAAGACTTTCTCTCTTCACTTTCAAAGATTGTTTATAAAAATATACAGTTAAATATGTTGACACATTCACGCCGATGGCAGTCCATAGCAGCTGCCAGCTAATATTCCCTACCAACTGCTTGTCGTAATCTTTTTTCACATTTCTGATATCAGAATAAATACGTCTTGAAGATTACTTAACACGTTGACGACCGCGCTATTTTTCGCTGTCTGGCGTGTGGGACCGCGCGCATTATTTTGACCGCGCGAGTGTGACATGGCATCATGTCAAACGGTCCCACGAGAACTCCTTTTTCTCAGGAAGTGTGTATTTGTTATCTTTCTTGTGTGGTAGGTCTCCGATTATGCGATTTTGGCCATTTTAGCGATTCCTGTGATTTGATCATTATTCAAACATTTTTAGAAAAACTCGATAGCCCATCAACCGAAGCTTCTTTCCAGGGACCACGCCTTTTGTAACAATGCCTAAGTATGGCGCATACATCACGTAAATAAGTTACCTAAAATGTTTGAAAACCAGCTTAAAAAAGACTGTGACATGACATCATGTCACACGGTCCCACGTGGCCGAAAGAGTGTGGTATGACATCATACCACACGGTCGTCAACGTGTTAACTACTTTGTTGCTTCTTTGTTTTTTGTTCATTTACTACACAAAATCCACGTGTTAGGCTAGGCTTCGGCAAAATCGCGCCCGTCCCACCAAAGAGCGAAAAAAGGCGCTGTCGTGAATTTGGTAATAAACAAGAAATCAGAAAAGTCTATAGAGCAACTCCAACGCTCTGTAACTTCTCCGAATGGATCAATTATTTTTAATATGTGTATGGATTGATTCAAACAGGTTTCAGCTTCTCCGACAGTTGCGCTGAAACGCGCCACCTTCCATGCTAATATTCGCCGGATGCCGTGACAGCATTCTCAACTCGCCTTTTTTGTTTTCATTTTCCCATTACTTCTCACAATTTAGGTGGGAGACATGTTGGTATTCTTGGATTCAAACATACGAAAAATGAAAAATCTGGATTTGAAAAGCTCAGAGGGCGCTAGCGCACCATACGGCGGGTATTGTCCGGAGGAGCTGGCGTTGCGGCGTGCGCGCCGCTTGGACAGCCGCGAGTTATAAGCGTATAGCGCGACTGTCGCAGGCTGATATCTGCCCAAAGCGCTAAAACCCTTCCCGTAACTGATGAAGCAACTCGTAATCCACACATTTTTGGCGCTTCTCTCTCATAACTTGCCTCCCCGGACTGACCGCTACGGAGCGGTAAATGATGGCGAGCCTATCATCTCAACAGAGATTTTCAAGCGCTATGCGTTCAGCAAAAACAATTAGAAGAAATATGTGTAGATAGAAAAACGGAAAATGAAAATAGCAAGAAACCAAATAAAAAATAGCAAATAAAATTTGATACTAGAAAAAGTGAAGGAACAAACTTACAATTGTTCTTCTGTGGCGAACAACTTCTGAATGAGATCATCCTTTTTCTGTATTGCACTCATGTAGGACTCCATCAACGCGTCAGTCCTATCCTTTTCCTCTGGCGTTTTGAAATAATCTAAAACCGAAGCTCATCTTTAGTGAATAAATTCATACATTCGAAAGGAAAGGCCCAGCAAATGTTATCCAATTTGGCTCCATATAAAATGAACTCTAGCACTGCACCGCTTAAGAAACCTATTACTTTCCTAACATTTTTGAAAACAGGAAATGCGTCTCTTCCTATAACGTGAGAAAAGAAGGGACTTCTGGCTTATGAAATGACGGCAATCATCTTTCATACTACACAAGTTCAGAAAAAGTAATGCTCTTCTAGTTCATTTTGTGCAAGAGAAGAATCTCATTCCGAACACACCACTCCCTCCCACTGGAACAGACCCGAAAGTGCCAAAACCCCACTGAAACTTGTCCTTTTGTCCCAGTCTGGAAGAAGAAAGTGTCCTAACCATTCCTGATGTTGATCAGGTATCTACTTCATCGTAGGGTCCAACATACATCTCGATCAATGAGTTTGACTTAACATATGTGTTGAATTGAGCCATGAAATCTCAGCCCTAATGGTTCAGTTGATCATAATGTGCTAGACAAATCATGGAACATATCTCAAACGGGTAGGCTGTTAAACTCCGAAATGTAAACAAAAAAACCAGAACTTGCAAGACCACCTCGACCCTTCAGCCTAGGGCAGAAGCGGCAGATTTTGAGATATTGCAGTTTTTTCAGGACACTGTACAATATATTAAAAACATATCACCAATAAAAGTGGCACTACTTTGGAATGATACTCACCATCAGGAGTACTCTTCGTCATGTTATCAAGCTGTTCATTAAGATTCGCAATATGACGACTAATTTCCCTGAAAATAACGTCTTGTGTGATGGTCTCAGGTGAATTGAAACGACTATTCCAAAAAATACCTGATATTTTCGATAATATTATAATATTCCTGTCGCCCGACCAAATGATTCTTCTCATTAGTGAGATTCATGTACGTCTCCAATAACGTCTGCTCTTCCGAACTACCTTGTTCTGTAAATAAAAGTTCTTATTATGAATTATATTCCAAATAACAAGATTAGAAAAAATCGCTGCGTCCAAATACGCCTCCATTGGTCTAGATGATAAATCTACGGCTTTACCTGTTTCTCGGATTTTCGCCTGGATAGCACTTGCTTGCGCAGTGACATCACCTAGTCGTTCCTGGATCCGTTGCTGCTCCAAAGTAGTGTGCTCTACGTCGTCGACGTCTTTCTGTAAAAAAAAAACTGAGTGTAAAGTAGCGATAAGATTATGCGCATTCGAGCTGCAGCAACCACGGTATCTGCTATTTCAAACACCCACTATTAGATCATTGGCCGTTCAAGGGTCTTTATCGTTTTTGATTTCTCAATTTCTTCTGAATCAAGCAAACTGCTACAACTCTATACATCGTTTTGAAAAATTTTTTTACTTTATCTAAAAGTGACGCCACCAATACACCTGAACAAGTCTTCTCATTTACTCAAGAGGCGATTTTGGGACGATAATTTTGAAGGCAAATCAAGGCTGAAAAAAGCGGGAGATCTGCTCGTGACATCAACAAATGCGCTTCGAATACGTTTCGTTAATACACCATGAATTGTACAATGGATAATGTTGGTACTTGTGCTGATTTAAATGAAAAAAAGGTTCCCTCTGAGCTCTCACTCTCACAGATGTCATAAAGAAATCTGAAAAATGGGACGTGTTCAATCTCCAATGAACCCCGTGTAGCCTGCTTGTTGAAATTTGTTGATAAAGCTGTGTAAAGTATCGAATTTACCAGCAATTTTGCTTTAACCCCATGTAAGAAAAACTCAAAAAGCGCATGTTACTGGCTGTAATAGCAAGGGAGGTCATCACGCGGCAAACGCACAAGTAACCACCGCCAGTTCTAGTCAACGCAGTTGTCGTCAAGGGTCAACCGTGATAAAAAAAAAAATCCGAGTCAACGTCGCCTCACTTCAGAAGAAGAGCCTCGCCATGCCACCCAACCACCATCACCAACTTTGAAGGCGACACAACCCTCCTTCACGCAACAGACTCGCGAAATTTCGCTAAAACTGATTCAAGAGACCGATCCCCTCCGCTCCTGCCACTACCTAACGCTAAACTTCTCAACTGGCGCTAGCAATGACTCCGCTCGGAAGATCATAAACACGACCCCCTCCCCCCCCCCCCAAAAAAAAAACACGGAGGTTTGATCCCTCTCCTTAGTAAATTATCAAAGACGGATGATCATGGTCTTCACACACTGTCACACTTTAACTTTGTATTTACCGTATATGGTCAATGTGTTGCATGCACACTCAAGTGCTACAAACAACGTTACCATCCTTAGTATAATTTTCTTCACTTGACCTAAAATCATCACTGCACTATCCTTCAAAAAACGCGCACAGTGAGATAATATAGAACCCATCCAAACAGATCACTTGCCCATCCGTATCATCAGGATTTTCTTCCCTTTTTCAATTTTCTTTTCACAATTCTTTTCCTCATTATTTAGATAGAATAGCATTTCTCACATCCTCTGAGAAACATAATTAGCAAGCTCACCTCCCTGCGCTAACTACTTTTCTTGTAGTGTACTGGCGTTAACGATCCATGTTACCACTTGTAGTCGTTTCAACCTAGAAAAGCACAAAACTATCATCAAATTCATTGAACAATACTTCCCTGTGAGTAAGTCGCCAGAATTCTAGGCTGAGATAGTTAGGCTTCGCCACACTCCAATATGTCAATTTTATAACCAAATTTAGTTGCTGAATGAATGTCTTTACTAGGGCTTTCATGGCAATAATTTGCGAGGCTATCAACAAAACGTTCCCTACCTAGCAAGAAAGAGATCGTTGCCCAAAAAGAAACTTGAAACGATTAGCAAACTGCACCCTACGATGCGCACCCTCAACAGGCCACTGCCCACGCGTGGCAGAAGAATGAGCATACGTCACTGCCTCACGATCACATCAACTTCATAACATCTATCATGGATGCTGACTGTTCCTAGCCTAGCTTAGCAGGGCGAGTACGATCCAGTCGATGGTCGCCAGCTGTGGGGTTAGTTCTTAAGGCCTTTTTCGTGTCTAATAAAACAAACATCCGTGTATGCTCCACTTGAGAGTATCTGAAGCGGAAGGACCATGCAAGGAAGGATTTTGCTCCACAGCCGAACTACATTGAAGCAATTCGAAGGAGAACGAGTCCCCATTTTGAAGCCATCCCCTTGAATGAAAATTCCTCCTTTCCCAACAGAAGCTCCAGAAACCTGCACTCTAATGAAGCAGGGTGGACATAAATTGAACAAGCTAGAGCGCTGCAACTGACCTTACTTATCTGAATATCTGCAATAAACCAAAAATCGAACCAGCGCATAACGACCTGCTATATTAAAAAAAAGTTCTTTCACATTGCCATTAAGATAATTACCTAACATCGACGGAGTTTGCGTGGCAACAAAATTACGCGTTGCGCCGGCTTTGGAACTCAAAAGAAAAATTAATGCCTACCAGGAAAAACGAGTCGCCCGATGAGTCCAAAAAAGAATTAGATTAATAGATACAACATAAGAAGGTGAAAAATAGTACTTTCCCGACAGACAAGTGAGGCAATAGCATGATAACACACCAACTGATCCCTTCCCGAGAAATACGATAACAAAAGTTTCCTGTTACGTTGTATCGGAGTTGAAATAAGGATCATCTTCGACACTCCTAGCTTTTGTTGATTTCGTCGTCCGGTAAATATAACAGTATGTAACATTTGTTTTCTCTTTATTCTAAACATAATCCGCGTAAAACAGTGGCAATGGGGTCACTCTACAACGCTAGAGGCTCATAAGCTGATCTAGCCTTTTCTCCATTCACCTACCTATGAAACTCTGCTCCAACCTTTGATAACCATGGCTCTTTGATAGCGTCAATAGATGAATCGTTAGCCTGGAAATTAAAGGCCGCAGTAACTCACAGCAGAGCCAAATACACAGTCATACATCCGAGATTCTGTGTGGCGGTGGAATAATTGACTCTCAAAAAAGGTATAGAGGATATGCTTATGGTTAGTCCCACTTTGTGATTGGCTGCACGCGCACTGACAACTGTCTGCACATGTGAGCCATCCATTCACAGAGTCGTTGTATCGGCAGCATATGGCATCGACGTCCTGCGATCCGTGATTCAGATGCTCCTGCTGTTTCATCTTAGCTGATGATGCCGAGTTCTACGGGCTACTCAAACTCCGTTCTTTGAAAGCTATCAGTGTGCCACATGATAAGGGTCCCGCGTACTCCCCCGCCCCCTTGAGCTGCTTGAGTCCCCCATGAGTTTTCAGTCGCACATTACAAATTGAAGTAAATAGCGTCCTCCACCTGTCCATGCTATGGCCTTTTGCAACAGGGAGCAACGAGAAAACTTCAAGTAGTCACGTAGCAATCGAGTGAAACTCTTATGCAAAGTACAGTAGTATAAGCAAAGCAGCAACCGTATAGAATTATGGCTAAGCTAAAAGCTCAGTAAAACAAAAAACCACTTTGCTAGATAGACAAGGAAGCGTTAATGCTCAAGAGAAAAGCAATCACGGTATTACAAAGCTGTCTTACCCCATACTGTCGTCCAAATTGTGCCATGGCTTCCTTTAGTTCCTGGCTGCGCATACTTCCGAATCTCTTCACTCGATCAAACGCCGATGGAACTGCACCACCACCACGAGGCTACAACCGCAACAGAACAACGTTACGACAACAGAACATTTACAATTACGAAACATTGACCCATAACAGAACCTCCTTCATGTTAACACCACAGCGAAAATTGCCACCGAAGCGACTGCTTTTCGAAAATCGCAGTTTCACTTTCACTTGCAATGATCACAACGAACAGTATAATCTTAGTTGCTGCCGAAATCAAAAGCCCATCCGCTAATACGGCTCAAAAAGTAACACAAAAAGGCGAAATAATCATTCACATTTTCGCAACGCTTACAAATCGGATATTTATGAAGAATAACAAAATTTGGACAAGATTGCTGCGAGTTCGCAACAATTGAAGAGTTTCTCTGAATTTTATGTTTGCACTTTTTAACAGGTAAAGAAACAAACGAGTCCAGAAAGGGAAAGGAAAATATGAGAAGGATTGATAGCAAATGTGCCGCTGTCAAATCCCTCTCCATTTTTTTTCCAAAAGGTTATTCACATCCCTCGGCGTGAATCTGCAGCACGGATTTGGTGCATTTATGAAATTGATGACCCTAACGTTGTTTACTGTAGCACGCTCGTTGCTTGGCATACGCATCACTTTACAGCTATTCCGTGAGCATTTTGACATCTAAGCGGCAAGCTCCTCTAATGAATTGCAAGATTGCCATTACCATCGCAGCAATGGATGTGTGCAGAGTAAAAAATCGTGATTACCACTGCAACCTTTCTGCGTCTATTTTCGACCATAAGCGACATTTGCATGCGTACTCCAGCGTTAACAACAGGCAACCAGCAGCAACAGTCAAAATTACCATCTGCCACAGCTTTCAGCCTCGCAGCTCAATATCGATGTCGGCTAACCGGCACATCATGTTAACGAGTCAATGTGCTGATTAGCCCTGAACAAACCATCAAAAGCTGAGCTAAGGTGAAATGGTGCCGCGGTAGTGTAAGTGGTAGAACAACATTTGCCCTAGCCATTGCAGCGATGAAAAGTGCAAAGCAACGAACTGTGACTACCACTGCAATCTTTCTGCACTGATTTTCGACTACAAGCGACATTCCATCTAATACAAAGCATGGGACTCAGTATTCCTAAAAAAAACTTCCCATGCGTAGTTCCGTTACCGCGCAGGAAATGTGGAATCCCGCCTGGAGCCAAGGCTTTATCACTAACTCAGCATTTCTGTGATAAATTTGCCGAAACGGCCGCATGCGATCTAAGGATTGGAAACCAAGAAGACACAAGAAAGTTAGTCCTCAAAGCAATAATTAGTTAAACAGAACAAGATTGATAAAAAAAGAGCGAGGTTTGATTTATCTATTGAAGCAACAGAAGGCATGATGTATGAACTGAAGCACTCGAAAGGTTATCATTGAAAACCCAGAGAAAAAAACTCTTACCTTCAAACGATCATTGGCCATTTGTGCCGGCCGTCCTTGCCCAGGAATGGCGTCATCTGCAGAAAAATTGTTGAGAAATTAATGAATTTAGAAACATTGAAATTGGACAAAAAAATTGGGAAAGATTCAGTCAGTAAGGCAATAAGGCACAACAACACAAATGCATGCTAACATTGTTTCCGCTGGAGAACCGGAGAAGGATCGCGTTTCTTGAAGGTGTGAATCGAGATGGCTTCGTATAACTCTGATTCACTCGCCAGCATGACATCGCCAAAAATAATTCAGCCAAATCCTAGTGAGCTGATAACACATGCGTTTCCAATCTGAATTTGACCAATTTTTTGTAGAGCTACCGCTGGGCTAACATTAGTGTTTGTTTAGCCAACAAGGAAGGCCTCAAAACCTATACATATGGAGTGAAGCCTAGCGAAATCTCCTAACTGAGGCATTCTGAATTTCAGTCCCCTGGACCATTTACAGGAATCAGAACTCCAATTTAGCGAAAGATCCAGAATCTCCAAGAGTAAAAATGGAAGGGAACAAGGAGAGCCAAAACAATGACACTCAACCGATTACCACCCTTGTTACACTATGACCACCCTGGGAACTCATCAAAAGCAAACTCAGCGAATTCAAAGGACTCACTTCTTCGACGTTTCGAATTAGCTATGCCCAGCAAACCAAGAACCGGGCTGGACTTGCTTCTGCTAAAAGGCTAGTGAGCACCCCTATAGATATTATTTCTACTCTAATAAAATGAGTTAAGTTCATTAGTGGTTCTAAATAACAAAAAAAACTTCTAACCAATTTTCCTTAAATCTGAGTTCGATCCATTAATTGACGTATTGGACCGATAGGCAGACCGCTGTAGATTCGACGACGATGTAGACGCCTCCGCTAATTGAACAACAATACTAGATCACAACCACAACCACAACGATTAGAAAATAATAAAACGAAGCGTTTAAAGCTTGGTGAAAGCAACACACCAGTCGCAACCACACTCGTTTACTTGCCAGTTACCGTGAAGATGCTGAATTATTATAAAAAAAATTAGAAATGACTTACCGGATCCAACAATATATGTCGCGCCATCCGTAACTGCCTCTTCAATCAGTCGCCGTGCTTCTTGTCTACGCTTTCCATCGTCTTGCGACTGTAAGAAATTAACAATAATGGGAAGTCGTAGATAAATTGATGAGAGCTGTCGCCAACTGGAGAAAAAATATATATTGCTACAAAATTTACCGGTAGAACAGCTGGCCGCGGACGATTCTCAAAGCATTGATCGAGCCCTTCTACGTAAACTCTCCTTTCGTCGGCACTAGTTCGAACGCCTGAAAGAACTTCACACTTATATACAGCTGGATAGTGGGCACGCTTCCTGTTATCGACACCGGCGCACCGCCGTACTGCATTGTTCAGATCAATCCAGGGGCGCATCGGAGCGTATACCTTAGTGGGAGTTACCCTCAAAGCGTGTACGGCCGTAGTGATGTTGCACACATTCGCACTGCATAAGCCTCATCTTCAGCGTTAACCATTTGGATTCCGAATGAGTTCATGGGTCGGGGGACGCGCCCGCGCCGCTGTCCATCCTTAGCATGAGGGAAGCAGGGGTGCGTTCATAGCGATCCAGCAATTGAACGCGTGATCTAAAGTACCCTTCCTTTATTGTGGCCACTCCTTTTCTCTGAGAGACTCGCCGCTGCTAAAGCTAAGAATCGCAGGGGAAGGTGTTCCCCGTCGCTATGAGCACACCGTGTCTCCTCATACACCGTAGGATAGGATCAGCGGCGGAGAACGCATACGCCAGAGGAAGGATAGGATATGGCCCCACGTGTGCTAGATTCAATCGAGGCACAAGTATACAAGCAAGATTAAAGCTGATCAGTCATAAAGAATTTGGTACAAAAACAGGCGACCAAGGTCGACTAAAAACATTGTTTTCATTCAAAGGGTTCAAAATGGGCTCGCTACACGTTTAACAACTGATGGCATACAATTGTAAAAACAGAATTTCTATGTGGCTACAAGCAATCGAACAACAACGCCTGGAGGAATCGGGTTTTACATAGAGGGAATGGAATGAGTAATGAACCAAAACATGAAGTACAGCTGCGCAAGTTGGTCCTTGTTACCCAGCTAGCTGTTTTCAGACCCGCCGCGAATTGTTGTGAGCATGTTAGCAGCTATTAATACGGATAGACAGAATTCCAAGGATTTGCTTTTCTACCTTAATTATCTTCAAATACTTGCTTCAGTTGGTCTACATCTATGTGGTCTTTCTTACGCGCTTTCTTTCCAAAACCTTGTCAAACTAGCGTTGATGGTCTTCCTCTCATGATAACTGAATCGCCAGTGCTAGCCTAGCAATTCACTATTTATAATGTAAGAAAAAATGGTACTTAAAAAAGTGTCAACTCCAAATGAACCTTTCAAACTACGCTCTGGAAACTTTTGCACTTGTAAAAGTCAAAATAGTGGCATGGCAAAAAAGAACAGACCGATGAACGGAAGGTTGGAAGAGCTGGAGTGACCATGGTAACAGACACATCGTGGTCACGGAAAGAGCTACAAGGTATCCACTTTTGTATTTGATATTGCTGCGATGTAGAATGTAAGCAAAAACTGGATTTCCTTAAAACTCACACATCTCTTTCCAGGGCATCTCCCTGATCGTCAGACCACTGATCACTGCTCTGATCGGCTACTGATGAATCAACCTGAGCAAATAACCTATTGCTCAATCTATTACATATCTATAGAATGATAAACTCATAGGGGAACAGTAAAGTACAAAACAGATACAAGCGAAGGAAATTCCTATTTACCTGTTTCCCAGTTGCTGGGACTCCTAGACCGTCCATCATACTGACCACCATGATCCTGAACATCCCAGCGTAAAATACTTTTATGGAATATGACGATCTTCAGTACCACACAATACACGTACCTGAACGTTGCTATAGTCAACAGCTGAGTCTGCTTCGCGCTGTTCTTTGATTTTATTGATTTCGTCAATAACCTGAAAACACTCAAAA